AGCACCATTTCGACTCCGGAAAGAAAGACACCCATGTAGTTCCTAGACGCCGCTAGCCACCTTATCTAATTTGGACAATACCTTTCTACGATTTGCCTGTGGTTAATTGATTGAATGTAAAATATTGCCTAAACTAGTGTTATATTTTTCTTCTGTGTTATATTATAAATATTATATATCCGTTACTTTCATTATGTGTTATGGTTGTATTTCATTTCACACGTGTTTCCCATTATGTCAACACTGTTTCGTTGTCTGAGTATGGACAAGTTTATCTCATATCACAGGTGAAACAGGTGACAGTTATATTAACTCGTGCACACGGTCTCAACCCACGTATTGCTCGAGATAGTAATGTGATAATTTGGTATTGATTCCGTAAATGAACCAACCGAATATGGTGGTTTTGTTGTCGTGACGTCACACGCGGACAAGTCATGAGTGGAGCCCTGCTTTAGATAACGTCTACAGAGTGATGCTTTTGTGTTTCGATGAGCATTAAAATGTCTGGTAACTTCGTGTTGCGCTTTTCCAGTTTGCAGCATACCCACGACACCTAGACGTCATTGTCAGCAAGCCAAGGCATTGCGTAAGCGTTATTTACGGTTAAACAAGGATATTTTATGAGCAACTTTTAGATAAACAATCAGCGTGTGCTGGTTACATTAACAAACTCCCGATAGTATCATGTTCCCAACAAACATCCACCTTGTGCGGCGTGCAGGAAAATGTGCAGTGCAAATTGTGAATCACGACCTTAAACTTGAGGAGAATGATGTATATAGTAAACTACAGTTATAACGAACACGCTTATAACGAACTGACCGATATGACGAACTTATTTTGTAGTCCCGACCATTTGTTGTAAATATGCTGTATATGTGCTTATAACGAACTACGGTTATAATCAACTAAAATTAGTGGTCCCTTTGAGTTCGTTATAACCAAAGTTTACTGTACATGTAAAAGTATTGAAAAATGAATTATTTCATTTCAGAACAATTTAGTTTTATTGAACTTGGCATTCGGCTTAGTAACTTTCTTCCGCTACTATACATGTATGAACGAATGTAGAGACGTAACGCCTTCATATAAATATTCTTTGACATGCCGCCAACGTGTTTCACTTCAGTCGTAAATTGCTTTCACATGAAGTAGGCGTTTTTCCGGCTAACACTTCACCACGTGTTCATGATTGATATTTCTTACAATTATGGTTGAACAGTATGTATTTATAACCAACTGTTGATTAATGAGTAGGAAATGATACATTCCCCGAAAAACTGCTAGGAAAACGTGAGTTCGATTTGATTATTTATATACTTTCCTTGTTTCTGATTCTAATGTGCAGGATATACGTGTTTGATTACCTGGACATAATACGTTACGTATGCATAATCTGAACTGCGAACTGCGATGCCAGAGGAGAATTGACCAGTGGTCATCAGGGATTAGTTGTCATTGCAGGTCACTATTGGCTTAGCCCCGTCACACATTACACATGCCTAATTTCGTGACTAGCCATGTTCGTCGAGAATCCCGTCTTTCTTACCTGTATAGTGAGTGAGTGAGTTTGGTTTAACGCCACTTTTAACATTATCCCAGTCATATCACGGCGTGTCAGCATAAAGTGGGAGGAAAAAAGTGATGCAGGTCTCAGACGTTTACCACTTGGGTGAAACCCACGAGCACGGGTATGGTGCTGACAAACCTAGAAACATAATCGTGGCGAACTGGGATTCGAACCCACAATCATAGGTTTCTGGAGTGCCTAGGGGACGCAATTCTGCACAGCGAATCGCGGCGCCTTAGACGACTGGGCCACCCGTGCCCCCTCTTACCTGTATAACCTGCACATAATACTTTAGTCATGCATAAACGTCTCTCGTATTCGAAATATTTGTGGAAATGTTTTGGTGGTGCAGTTCGAGGTGTAGCTGTGTCAGGATCCGCTGGTCACGTGTTCGAATCTCAGGATTACGCCTTTATAAGTAATAGTTCAGCTGTTTGGCCATGGTGTACATCGAGATACCCTTCACTCAATATACACGGGTATCCTGCATGGCGTGGGTTCGAATCCCGGTTCGCCCCGATTATGTTTCTGGCTTTGTCAGCACCATACCTGTGCTCGTGTGTTTCACCGAAGTGGTAAACGTCTGAGATCTGCATCACTTCGGGCTTTCCTCCCACAGTAAGCTGACACGCCGTGATATAACTGGAATAAAAGACGTGTTAAACCCAACTCACTCACTCACTAACTTACCAGACAATCCAGTGATTGATATCATGGGCACCGATCCACGCAATTGGGATATGGTGACATGCAACCAAATCAGCGAGCCTGACCACACGATCCCGTTAGTCGCCTCTTAAGACAAGCATGGATTGCTGAAGACCAATTCTAACCCGGATCTTCACGGGTTGGTTGGTTTGTTGTTTAACGCCGCACTCATCAATATTCCACCTATATGAAGGCGGATCATCACGGGTCTCCACCCGACCTGTATATATGTGCATGTGCATTAATTGCATGCTTGTGATGACGGTTGATAAACAGTAAACTACGTTTATAACGAACACGCTTATAAAGAACTGACGAATATAACGAATTGTTTTTGTCCCGGTCATTTGCTGTTTATATGCTGTATATATGCTTATAACGAACTACGGTTATATCGAACTAAAATCAGTGGTCCCTTTGAGTTCGTTATAACCGTTTACTGTACTGTGTAGATAATTTTAATTTACTATTGTTAATCCAGTCTGTTTGCGAACTCTTAAACCACTGGCCTACTCCATTTCTCTGATCCCGATTCTGTGCGTACAACACCCGGTCAGGGTTAGAATAAGTCCCCACTACATTCTTGTCGCAAGGCACGATTGATAATCATTGGATCGGGTGGTCAGGCTCGATGACGTGATTAATGACTGATCTGTCGTTGACTTTCCTCTGCTGTGAATCATTTGTCTTTTTGGTCTAGATATTTTATTTTCTCGACATTGCTCACTGGGGCGTGTAGAGAGCCACATACAACAAAGAACAGCGCCACGCCCTTGAGATTCACAAGAGCGTTCGTCGAGAGCGACCACCTGCGCACTTTCGACTTCCCTCCCACACTAAGATTTCGTGTCCTAATACAATTGAGATACGCAGCGTTAAACCCAACCCTGTCACTTGGCCATGATGTCTATATATACATATACGTATGGTCGTGTATGAGGAATCACCCTATACCGCTCTGTATAAACTTGTAGAGATGTCAGGAAGTGTATTAATGAGCCTACGGGTAATGGCGTTCTCATCTGGAAAATATTTGAAAAGTGACCCCGATCTCCTTGTGGCGTGTATGTATACTGCGTAGGTCGTGCTCGTGTGATGCACGGGGAACACGTGGTGGATCCAGCATTTTTAAAAACCGGGCTCCACTCGGACCATCTGTTACTACAGTTGGTGGGAGTGGGGGTGCCTGCCTCAGTAGTCCCAAACACCACATGTAACCCATTATTAATTTTACTAACAAGCAAATCAATATGTTATCATAGTAGGCAATGCGCATACAGAATGTCATCACTTTGTTTGTTTGTTTGTTTGCTGTTTAACTCCGCACTTAGAATTATTCCAGCTATATGACGGCGGTCTGTAAATAATTGAGTGTCGAGCAGACAATCCAGTGATTGACATTGGGATCGATGACATGCATCAACCAAGTCAGCGAGCCTGACCACCTTATCCCGTTAGTCGCCTCGTACGGCAAGCATAGTCGCCTTTTACGGCAAGCATGGGTAGCTGAAGACCTATTCTACCCCGGATCTCTCTCTGTCTCTCTCTCTCTCTCTCTCTGTTTGTCTCTCTCTCTCTCTCTCTCTCTCTCTCTCTCTCTCTCTCTCTCTCTCTCTGTGTCTGGTACTGGGTGTTCTGGAAATAATATGGGAAAGTAATTGTGTGGTTCCTGCTTTCAGAGAGTTAGGTTAGTGAGCAACACACCCACACCCACACCCACAGACACATACACGCACTCACACACACACACACACACACACACACAGACACACACACACACACACACACATACACACACACACACACACACACACACACACACACACACACACACACACACACACACACACACACACACACACACACACTCACACACACACACTCACACTCTCTCACACATACACATACACACACTCACACACAAATACTCACACTCTCTCACACATACACATACATGCACTCACACACGCACTCACACTCTCTTACACACATATTCAGGTTTGCGAACACACACACGAGCACACGCACTCATACACACACTCACACACATATATACACCACATGCACTCACACTCTCTTACCCACAGATGCACAGATTCAGATTTACACACACACTCACACACATACGCACTCACATTCTCTCTTACACACAAATACAGATAACAGATTCGGATTCGCGAACACACACACACGCGCGCGCTCTCATACACACACACGCACGCACAAGCACTCACATATACACACACATACACGCACTCACACACACACGCACACGCACTCACACATACACACACACGCACACCCACCCACTCACATACATACACTCACAAACACCCAGACACACATGCACTCACATACACACCACTCACATACACACACACAAACACAAAAATACGCCCTCAGATACACACCCAGACACACATACAACACGCACGCGCGCACGCACGCACGCACGCACGCACGCACGCACACACACACACACACACACACACTACCCCCTCACCTCACACCCCACCCTCACCCCACCCCACCCCACACCCCGGAATATGAAATGGCCCGTCTCTCATTAATATAATTCTAATAGTATTTACTAGTCGCATTTTATCATTAGTCATACTAATCCTAATGGTCAATTTTCCCAGTTTATATTTAGTCCCGATTATGTACCCAAATAGATATACTGTCACCTAGTAGGACTTTGTTCACATGACAGACACACTTTTCCTCCTGAAGTTAGTTCCGTGTTTCTCGCACTGGTCACAGTTCACGTACGTGACATCTTCGAGGAAACATCGCCATCACACACTCAGGTAAGAGAGTATACTAGTAGGTGTGTTAGAGATGGGATGAGCCCATTGTAAAGCACAGACATAGTGTTGGTTAAAATCGACCAATAGCAAAAGATACAGACAAAGTTTTGTCATATTAACCTTTCGGAGTGAATTATTTAATTAATTGAAATTAATTGAATCTTCGCACTTCTCTCTTCAGTTTTGTGTCCATAGACGGTACACGATGTGAAAATCTTTGTTCGCATCTCAGATGCGTCCCCGATCATGTTCTATATAGACGACTCGTGAAGATCCGGGTTAGACCGGGATGGAGTGGCCTGGCTCGCTGACTTGGTTGTTGTCATCGTATCCCGATTGCCCGATGCTCATGATGACAATCACTGGATTGTCTGGTACAGATGCGAATATTTATATACCGTCGTCGAAAAGCTTTGATAATGCTGAGGGCGGTCTTAAACAAGAAACACACAAAGTGTATAAACGTCTACATTACTTTGGGATTGTTTGAAAGAAGTATTACAATAATTATAAGTTTTAGCAGTATAACGAGGGGTATAATTATGGGCCCTTGGAAAATAGATAGAAAACAACTGTTTGAGTGAGCTGAGGTTAACTGAGGTTCATTGGATAGTCAACAATGTGCGACGTTCTGCTTCGTAGCGGGGTATGAGGGATATATTCACCCGCGTTGAAGCCTGTTATCTTCATGGCGGGGTATGAAGGATTTATTTTCCCGCTCATAACGTGAACCAATTATATCTCAATATTCTGACTTGGAGATGAGATAAATACTTTTTGGTTATTTCCTTGGCATGAATATTCAACTGCTTATGTAACTTGCGTGGAAACAACCACAAGAAAGATATGGAGACCTTGTGACGGACAATGCAAGGTTGGAAGGGGAGGCTGTTCAGGTCATTTAGGAATAAGAAAAACTAAACGAGTAACAGGATGATGTCTGAATTATATTTGGCGTGACTATGTTCTAAATATGTAATTAAATACTTCTTCCTCGTCTGCTCCATGTTGGTATGTCCACACAATACCCATGCTCCATGTTGGTATGTCCACACAATACCCATGCTCCATGTTGGTATTGTTCACACAATACCCATGCTAGCTGCTGGTATGTCCACACAATACCCATGCACCATGTTGGTATGTCCACACAATACCCATGCTCCATGTTGGTATTGTTCACACAATACCCATGCTAGCTGCTGGTATGTCCACACAATACCCATGCACCATGTTGGTATGTCCACACAATACCCATGCTCCATGTTGGTATGTCCACACAATACCCATGCACCATGTTGGTATGTCCACACAATACCCATGTTCCATGTTGGTATGTCCACGCAATACCCATGCTCCATGTTCGTATGTCCACGCAATACCCATGCTCCATGTTCGTATGTCCAAACAATAACGATGCTAGCTGCTGGTATGTCCACACAATACTCATGCCCCATGTTGATATGTCCACACAATACCCATGCAAGCTGTTGATATGTCCACACAATACCAATGCTCCATGTTGGTATGTCCACACAATACCCATGCTCCATGTTGGTATGTCCACGCTCCATGTTGGTATGTCCACACAATACTCATGCTCCATGTTGGTATATCCACACAATACCCATGCAAGCTGTTGGTATGTCCACGCATTATCCATGCTAGCTGTTGGTATGTCCACACAATACTCATGCTAGCTATTGTTTTGTCCACACAATACTCATGCCCCATGTTGATGTGTCCACATAATACCCATGCAAGCTGTTGGTATGTCCACACAATACCCATGCTAGCTGTTGGTATGTCCACACAATACCCATGCTCCATGTTGGTATGTCCACGCTCCATGTTGGTATCTCCACACAATACTCATGCTCCATGTTAGTATATCCACACAATACCCATGCAAGCTGTTGGTATGTCCACGCAATACTCATGCTCCATGTTGGTATGTCCACACAATACTCATGCTCCATGTTGGTATGTCCACACAAAACCCATGCTCCATGTTAGTATGTCCACACAATACCCATGCAAGCTGTTGGTATGTCCACGCAATACTCATGCTCCATGTTGGTATGTCCACACAATACTCATGCTCCATGTTGGTATGTCCACACAAAACCCATGCTCCATGTTAGTATGTCCACACAATACCCATGCTCCATGTTGGTAAGTCCACATAATACTCATGCTCCATGTTAGTATGTCCACACAATACCCATGCTCCATGTTGGTATGTCCACCCAATACTCATGCTCCATGTTGGTATGTCCACACAAAACCCATGCTCCATGTTAGTATGTCCACACAATACCCATGCTCCATGTTGGTATGTCCACACAATACCCATGCTCCATGTTGGTATGTCCATACAATACCCATGCTCCATGTAGGTATGTCCACACAATACCCATGCACCATGTTGGTATGTCCACACAATACCCATGTTCCATGTTGGTATGTCCACGCAATACCCATGCTCCTTGTTGGTATGTCCACGCAATACCCATGCTCCATGTTCGTATGTCCAAACAATAACGATGCTAGCTGCTGGTATGTCCACGCAATACTCATGCTCCATGTTGGTATGTCCACACAATACTCATGCCCCATGTTGGTATGTCCACACAATGCTCATGCCCCATGTTGGTATGTCCACACAATACTCATGCCCCATGTTGGTATGTCCACACAATACCCATGCAAGCTGTTGGTATGTCCACACAATACCAATGCTCCATGTTGGTATGTCCACACATTACCCATGCTCCATGTTGGTATGTCCACGCTCCATGTTGGTATGTCCACACAATACTCATGCTCCATGTTGGTATATCCACACAATACCCATGCAAGCTGTTGGTATGTCAACGTATTATCCATGCTAGCTGTTGGTATGTCCACACAATACTCATGCTAGCTATTGTTATGTCCACACAATACTCATGTCCCATGTTGATATGTCCACACAATACCCATGCAAGCTGTTGGTATGTCCACACAATACCCATGCTAGCTGTTGGTATATCCACACAATACCCATGCTCCATGTTGGTATGTCCACGCTCCATGTTGGTATGTCCACACAATACTCATGCTCCATGTTGGTATATCCACACAATACCCATGCAAGCTGTTGGTATGTCCACGTATTATCCATGCTAGCTGTTGGTATGTCCACACAATACTCATGCTAGCTATTGTTATGTCCACACAATACTCATGTCCCATGTTGATATGTCCACACAATACCCATGCAAGCTGTTGGTATGTCCACACAATACCCATGCAAGCTGTTGGTATGTCCACACAATACCCAAGCTCCATCTTGGTATGTCCACACAATACCCATGCTCCATGTTGGTATGTCCACGCTCCATGTTGGTATGTCCACACAATACTCATGCTCCATGTTGGTATATCCACACAATACCCATGCAAGCTGTTGGTATGTCCACGTATTATCCATGCTAGCTGTTGGTATGTCCACACAATACTCATGCTAGCTATTGTTATGTCCACACAATACTCATGTCCCATGTTGATATGTCCACACAATACCCATGCAAGCTGTTGGTATGTCCACACAATACCCATGCTAGCTGTTGGTATGTCAACACAATACCCATGCTCCATGTTGGTATGTCCACGCTCCATGTTGGTATGTCCACACAATACTCATGCTCCATGTTGGTATGTCCATACAATACCCATGTTCCATGTTGGTATGTCCACGCAATACCCATGCTCCTTGTTGGTATGTCCACGCAATACCCATGCTCCATGTTCGTATGTCCAAACAATAACGATGCTAGCTGCTGGTATGTCCACGCAATACTCATGCTCCATGTTGGTATGTCCACACAATACTCATGCCCCATGTTGGTATGTCCACACAATGCTCATGCCCCATGTTGGTATGTTCACACAATACTCATGCCCCATGTTGGTATGTCCACACAATACCCATGCAAGCTGTTGGTATGTCCACACAATACCAATGCTCCATGTTGGTATGTCCACACAATACCCATGCTCCATGTTGGTATGTCCACGCTCCATGTTGGTATGTCCACACAATACTCATGCTCCATGTTGGTATATCCACACAATACCCATGCAAGCTGTTGGTATGTCAACGTATTATCCATGCTAGCTGTTGGTATGTCCACACAATACTCATGCTAGCTATTGTTATGTCCACACAATACTCATGCCCCATGTTGATATGTCCACACAATACCCATGCAAGCTGTTGGTATGTCCACACAATACCCATGCTAGCTGTTGGTATATCCACACAATACCCATGCTCCATGTTGGTATGTCCACGCTCCATGTTGGTATGTCCACACAATACTCATGCTCCATGTTGGTATATCCACACAATACCCATGCAAGCTGTTGGTATGTCCACGTATTATCCATGCTAGCTGTTGGTATGTCCACACAATACTCATGCTAGCTATTGTTATGTCCACACAATACTCATGTCCCATGTTGATATGTCCACACAATACCCATGCAAGCTGTTGGTATGTCCACACAATACCCATGCTAGCTGTTGGTATGTCCACACAATACCCAAGCTCCATCTTGGTATGTCCACACAATACCCATGCTCCATGTTGGTATGTCCACGCTCCATGTTGGTATGTCCACACAATACTCATGCTCCATGTTGGTATATCCACACAATACCCATGCAAGCTGTTGGTATGTCCACGTATTATCCATGCTAGCTGTTGGTATGTCCACACAATACTCATGCTAGCTATTGTTATGTCCACACAATACTCATGTCCCATGTTGATATGTCCACACAATACCCATGCAAGCTGTCGGTATGTCCACACAATACCCATGCTAGCTGTTGGTATGTCCACACAATACCCATGCTCCATGTTGGTATGTCCACGCTCCATGTTGGTATGTCCACACAATACTCATGCTCCATGTTGGTATATCCACACAATACCCATGCTCCATGTTCG